GATTGGATATATGAATGGATATTTGAACTTGGATCTTGCTAGTTCTCTATATGCCAAATTGTAATTGTAATTAATGTTAGAGATTAAGCTAGCATTTTGATGTGTTTGCTTTTTCGTGGTAATATATGCAAGGCTTTTTTGATCTTTTCACAGGTTCTGCAGCCATTTTTAACCACAATGAAACTAATCCATTAATATGAATCTTACAGGTGGTGGATGCCAAGAAGAGCATCCTGGATTCAAGAGGGATTTGAATCAAAGCACCACCAGTTAGAGATTAAAAATATTTCTACTTCCTAGAGAATCCAAGATTATAAGTGTTGAAAAAACCCCACAATCTGTCTATTGTGGGGGGAAAAACAGATTACCAATCACAGCTGATTATGCACGAGGGGATCCACACCACAAAAAATATACAAAAATGCTTGGAATGTGGCAAACGCTTTACTCGGAGCAACTTCCTCATGGAAGCACCCACACCCGAGAGAAATTCTACCAGTGCTCCCAATGTGGCAAAAGGTTTAGCACAAACACCAGTCTGGTGAGACATAAGAAGACTCACACTGGGGAGAAACCTTTTGATTGTCCTGATTGTGGGAAAAGTTTCATCCAGAATTCTGACCTAGTGATGCACCAGAGGACTCACACGGGAGAGAAACCATATGCGTGTCCAGAGTGTGGGAAAAGTTTCAGTAAGAATTTCAATCTGGTGATACACCAGAGGATTCATACAGGATATAAACCATATGAGTGTTTGTATTGTGGGAAAAAGTTCAGCCAGAATGCCAACCTGGTAATACACCAGAGGACTCACACAGGAGAAAAACCATATGAGTGTCTGTATTGTGGGAAAAGTTTCACTCAGAATGCCAACCTTGTGATGCACCAGAGGACTCACACAGGAGAAAAACCATTTGAGTGTCCGGATTGTGGGAAAAGTTTCCAGCAGAATTCCAAGCTGGTGATACACCAGAGGACTCACACAGGTGAGAAACCATATGAATGTCTGGATTGTGGGAAAGGTTTCAAGGAAAATTCCACCCTGCTGTTACACCAGAGAACTCACACCGGAGAAAAACCATATGAGTGTTCAGATTGTGGAAAAGCTTTTAGTAGGAATTCTAACCTGCTGATCCATCAGAAGGCTCATACTGGAGATAAACCATATGAGTGTCCAGATTGTGGGAAAGGTTTCAATTGGAATTCNAATTATTAGACTTATTTTTTTAAAGACTGCTTTATTATTATTATTATAGACAACTTAACAAAACGAAGAAGCTTTTTAAAATAAATGCTTGATCTGAAGCGGTATATAAGTCTAACTGCTATTGCTAATATACGCTGTAGTGTTATATTTCATACTATACTTGTACAGATGCTGTTAACATTGATGTGCTTTCTGGAAGTATAGTTATTCTCTGATATTTAAAAGAATAGCACCTTTTAAAACAATAGCACGGGGCCTCTTCAGATCAAGCATTTATTTTAAAAAGCTTCTTCATTTTGTTAAGTTGTCTAGAATAATAATAAATCAGCCCCTTAAAAATAAGTCTAATAATTTGAACATTCTATAGGCATTTGTAGTTGTTGACTTACCTCCTTGCAGCAAACAGCCTGATTAGCACGAGAAAAAAAAAATCTGCCTCTCAGCAATTTGCCTCCTGGAGCAAAGGGCAAGTTTCACTTTCAGTTTCTCCCGACCATCAGCTGTTACAGGTTGCAGGGATTGCTATAGCTTATTGAAGCCTCCGTTTGCTGCAAAGAGGTGAATCGCTGGGAGGCAGAGGCCAAAGGGTTGGGGCCGGTGGGTGAGTGGGGCTACATTCAGTGTATTTCCAAAAATTCACTCTCTTTTAGGGCAGAAAAAAGTGCGTCTTATACTCCGAATAATACGGTAGTTTTGGGGAGGCCCATCAGTCCAGCACAGGAAATCAGGTGTCCAGGCTGTTCAAATGAATATCAAGGTTTATCCCAAGCGTAAGCTCTCTAGGAGAATTTGAACTACTAACAGTCGAGGGGAAATTAGCGGGAGATAAGAAGTCAGTGGAATTCAAGGTGGGCTGGACTTGGATCTCTTGTGGGTGCAATGAGACTACTGACCTGCTTCACCCCTCCCTCTCTTGGGCTCAACCTGGTCGACTTCTACACCGTTATAAGTTGAAAACAAATAGGCAACGCAGCCCTTTTAATCCGGGAAAGGACAGAAGGGAGTCAGATATCTTCTTTTAACAACTGGTCTGCTTGTGCTTGACAGCATCTATTGCCGTGGCTGCCGCAAAGCACTCTGTTGCTCTTGTGCCCTGCTCGACGGAGAACATTACAACGCCAAGCTTTACAGTGACATCCGCACGGAAATTGAGAACCGGAAGGAGGAACTGAACAGGCTGAAGGAGGAGATCGGGGAGAAGAAGGTCAGTTACGAGAGTACCCACAACAATGTCCACGAGCGGCTGAAGAAGCTGGATACGGTGCGGAATGAGACCCATGGGCTTATCCAGAAGAAGGTTGGGGACATGGTCCAGTGGATCCAGCAGAAGGGGGAGGAGCTTTTGAAGAAAGTGGACCTCCAATTGTGCCAGGAGCGAGAAGAAGCCAGGAAGAAGCTGGAGTCCACGGAACAGATCCTCAAGCGAATAGAAGCCGGGGAGCAGCTGGTGGAGAAGATGGGCCTCTTTGCCTCTGACCAAGAAATGATGGACATGCACCCCTTCATCAAGGAGTCCCTGGAGAGACTCAAGAAAGTGAAGCTGCCCGTTTCCAGCTTTCCGAGCCAAGTGGAGAACTTCGACGAGATCCGAAGGGACCTCCAAACTCTGCTTAAGAGAGTCAAAGGAGAAGGTGAGAAACTTTCAAAAATGGAGGTGTTTGTGGTTCTTCCTTCTCAGATGGGGCAATGGTGTCTTAAGCAAGAGGTGGAAGAACGTGAAAGTCCATATCTGTATCGATGCCGTTTTTGATGCGGAACCCAACTGGGCCCAGAGCTTTAAAGCAAAGGGGTGTCCAACCTTGGCAACTTTTAAGATCTGTGGACTTCCATTCCCAGAATGGAAGTCCACAAGATGATGAGCGGAGAAGCTTTGGATGCTACAGATTGATCTAAAGTTGTTTAGGAATTGGTGCTGAACACCTGCTCTCTCTTTCAGATGAAGAATTGAGGTGGAACCTTAGGCGGATGGCTTCCACCCAAGCTTTGCTCACCTCAATCTACCCTTAATTCTCTGTTCTGCTTGCAGATGCTTTTGGGTGCACTGTTCCCACGCCTGGATCTCCCAGTCCCATGGTCAATTCGGTAAGCTTGATTTGGATGGATGTGGATAGTGGACCCTTGAATCAAAGATGGTGAGGCCCATTGGGTGCTGGGCCTGGGTCCTGGATCACAGGGCGCTATTTCTTCCCTTGTCCTGTAAAGGGTCCCTTCTGGAAATGGGAAGAAGGTTGATCAGGTAAAATCACTGATGGACTCGCAGTTGATCAAAAATGGTTTTTTTTTTTAACAAAGGTGAAACAATTCTCAAAGTTGGCCAGTAAGAAGATGCCATCTTTTGGCATCCATTTGGAATTGCAGGTTCAGAAATGAGTATGAACATGTCGCCTTTTTTTAATTAAAGAGTTTTAATAAATTTTACAACTATTTCCCCTTCCCTCCCTCCACCCCAACCCTACCCCCCTCCAACCCTCCCTCCCCCCAACTTCCCAGAGCAAAATACAGGGTATAAACATTTAACAATCACACACTAAAATAAACTAACTAACTTTAGCATCGTGCCTTNTGTGGGGGCGATATGCTGACTCTGTAAACCGCTTAGAGAGGGCTGAAAGCCCCATGAAGCGGTATATAGCTGCTATTGCTATTAGGGTCGTAAAATGGCTCAAGGATGTGACTGACCCGGTTTTACGTCTTTCGAGCCAGTTTTAAGCAAACGCTGTGCCTCTTAAGCGGTTTACAGAGTCAGCCTCTTGCCCCCAACAATCTGGGTCCTCATTTTACTCACATTGGAAGGGTGGGAAGGCTGAGTCAACCTTGATCAAACTCCTGGCTGGGCCTACAGTGCTGCATTCTAACCCCATTGCCCCCCATGGGAGCTGTGCCTCAGCATCTCTGGAGGTGCTTCGTTGTGTGCGGTCCAGGTGACACGGCTGCTTTCCCTGGGGAGGCCACCTCGGCCTTTCTGAAGCCCCCTTTCCCCCCCTCCCTCCCTAGTGCAACGTCTATAATTCTGGCCAGCGGAGGAAACTGCTGCCTTTCAAAGGCTTCCTTCGCAAAGTGGTGGTGCTAGTGCCCAACGAGGAAGATTGGGTGGACAGGCTGCAGCAAAGGGAGAAAGCCGAAGGGGAGAACGTGCCGGAATCGGTGATGCTGGAAATGAAAGGTACGGCCCGTTCAAAAGCCCAGACTTGGTGCAAGGTGGGACATTCATTATTTTGGGGGGGTGGGGGGAGGAATTAAGGCTGGGGGACCTTCTCATCTCTTTGGTCTTCTGCGTCCCTCCATCCCAGCCAACTTCTCCCTTCCGGACAAATGTGACTACATCGACGAAGTCCTCTTTCAAGAGTTGGCGAAAGAAGAAGCCCAGCCTCTGGTCACTAAGTACAAGGAAGAGGCCCGGAAGCTCCTCCCACCCTCCGAGAAACGGACGAACCGTCGGAACAACCGGAACAAACGCAACCGCCAGAATCGCAACCGCGGCCAGGGATACGGTGAGGTGGGGCAAGACAGGCTGCGGGGAGGGTTTCTCCCTGGTTGGATGAGCGGCTCGGAGCTTGTTCAGATATTCAGAAGAATACTGGGCACCTTTCAAGAAGGTCTAGGGCAGTGTTTCTCAACCTTGGCAACTTGAAGATGTCCGGACTTCAACTCCCAGAATTCCCCAGCCAGCATTCGCTGGCTGGGGAATTCTG